TTCCAAGAATTCTTGGGCTTGTTAGAACAAGCGTGTCAAGTTCTTTTCAACAAGACCCTAACTAAGTCAAGGCATTACGAATTGAGAAAGTTACAAATTTTACAAAATTGAGGGATCTAACGCCTTCGGCGGTAGATCCCTCATAACAATGAGAGGACAATGATATGAAGGACAATGATATGAAGGACAATGAGAGATATCTCATCTAGTATCTAAATTTCTTCTCCCATAGTTTGATTGCTATACAATATGTCATTAAATTTTTTTGTCCTTATATGGAACTTGGCCACGAAGGTGGAGGAAACAGAATCATCTATAGATTATTTCACACAAGCAACAAGCTGACTACTATACATATACAAGTCTCTTTCATTTGAAAGTTGGAGCTACTTCATGTTTAACATCCAAATAGAGGTTGATGGAGTGGATAAAGATGATTGTTTGACATCATGAAGTCTCAAGCTGCGGACTAAAGTGAAAAGCCAAGTTGACACTTGTATGTGAAGATTACCGGACCTCAAATCTTGAATAGTTTAGGTAATTATATAAGTATAGAGCAGATTCTACATTAATGTCTTATTGGAGTAAAATTCTCTTCCATCCTTAGAGAGGTGCCAGGGGTATTTTTTCCTTTGTTAGATAAACCTTGCTTTGTGTGTACGCCAAGCCAACCTGGTTGCTATAAACATTAGCACTTTGGAGTGCACTATACGGAGAATTGCCTTGGAGAAATTTGGAACCGAGCATTTGTTCTTTAGATTTTCCCTCATGTGCAAATGAGAAGTAGTTCTTTTGATCTTTACTCGTGTTTAGATGATGTAGTTCATTTTGAAAAGTACAACTTTCATTGATTTTCTTATTATTAGACTTTACTTAAGGTCTTTTGTAAGAGTTAGGCTAGAATATGTACAATGTACTTGGTGTTTGACTTGTTTAATCTAGGCAAGAGTTGACATACTTGGAAGACACATTGGTGACATCAAGGTGCTATCTCACTTAGAGTTGAGTGGAGTGAACGTATAGGGAGCTACGGCATTTCTAAGATAGATTTGATTTTCCGGCGACGGAATCAAATCGATCAAATGTAAGTAACAATATAGCATGATTCAATTGTTTTTTTTCCAAGAGCAATCTTCTAGTAAAACCAGCTACATGATGAAATAATTACCATCATGTAAAGCGTTATTAATTTTAATATTTCAAAACAAGTATTTAGTGGTGAATTTTGTGTACAAGTTGAGCAAGATGATTCATATCAACCCAATAAAAAAGTAGTAACAACTCCACAATTAACTCAATTGTATCTGGATGCAATTTCTATGAATCATGACTTAAGCAAATTTCATCACAGATATAGGTACTCATTTCATTAGTTTATTTTGTAAAATTTTCTTTTGTCTTTTCATAACAAAAATAGCAATGTCAACGTTCTACTATTGTCAAACTTATAGACAAATAAAGATTACAAATATAATCATAAAAAATATGCTACAAGTATTCACATTAGAAGAAAAAGAAGAGTGAGACACCTTTTTGGCTCTTGCGGAATTTGGATATAACAATTATGTTAATGTATTCACAAAAATGTATTCATTTTACCTTATGTATAGTGTTAATCATATAATTTCTTTAAGTTTGATACAATTTGTGAAAAGAGCTTAGTTTTTTAAAAAAGTCACAACAATTAACGAGTTTGTGGAGTATATTTACATAAGACTTCATCAATTCAAGGAGAAATTGCTAGTAGCTCAAAATCAAAAAAAAAAATTATGTAGATGCTTATCATAGAGAGTGGATTTTTAAAATAGTAATTTATGTTTGGTTGTGTCTTGTAGTAGCACTCAAGTTGAGCACTAGGTTTTGTGATCCATATTTTTTAAAACCTACAAGTGTTGTACAAATTGTAACTTTTGTCATAGATAAAAAATACATCTGGCATTTCATGTGTCACCATTACAAAAACCGTATCACGATCAAAACAGTTCATTAACTAACTAAAAATTTGGAAAATTTATCTTTGATAATTCAAAATTTTGAATATATATACAACAAGTATATAACATCTTAAAAGTAATGAGTGTTTTGATTATCTTTAGTCAATTAAAATTAAAATATAGTTTTTTCAAAATTGAGAAGAATAAATTATAATAAAATATCTACAATGTCATGTTAGCAATCAGTGTGTTATTTTTTGTATTAATCAAGTTCAACACGTCATCAATCATCGTGCTTGTCATAGAAAGATTCAATGTGCTAATTGTTGCATTAATTGATAACAACACATTGACAATATCTGTGTTCATTAGTTATATCAAGCATTTCACCAATCCATTAAAAAAAGATTGGACGATTGAAAGAATAATTTCATATTAGTGTATATGTTTCATGTGAAATATCTATATATAAAGAACATAAGAATCATTCAAATTATCTACTCTTTAGATTTTATTGAAACTAACATATGAAATTTACATCACAAACTCGAAATGTGGATTCAAAAGCAGAGTCAAACTTCAAGCACAAGTGAGTGACATGAAGTGTAGCTCCACATTTGGAAATAGGTCAATGTAGAACCTGTGAGATGTCTATGTTATTTTTTTTAATTCTTCATTTCTGCTCAACCCGAAAGAACATTCAAAGTGATAACGTTCCAGAACCACACTTCTAATCTTATGCCCCCATATGCTTGGACGTGTCAGCAGTACACATCCTCCACATCAACGAGTTTTCAACTTGTGCATATGCAAGAAATTGCATTACACCATACCGTGTGTAAAGTCAATCTTGAATCAAGAACTATACTCTATGTTTTACATGCATCGCTACTTTGACTTGTTGGAATTGAAAATCCTTATGAAAATATGTTATTCGTCTCCAACCTTAGGCATGCATGTGTTGGAACACGTATCTAATCTCCGTTAACAAGGAGGCTGAATTTTGGACTTACATACTTCAATCGAATATTGCCAGCCAGAAGAGAGGATAGGCACGAGCTTCGTTCATCATTTCAATGACCAAAATAATTAGAATCATCAGGTGTCAATCTTGAATGTTACTTCCAATTTCAATCTGGTGCAGGCTGGATCGACATTTCCAGCTGTACTCGATCCTTTCTGATGAGGAGCCATAGCCCTTCACTATTCTACCACCAGAATGGAAAGTGGGAACGCATGGAATAGAAACGAAATGAAATTTTCCGTGACAAAACAAAGAGGAGACCAACAAACCCGAGACGAAACCAGCCAGAGGCCAATTCAAACTGAGAGAGCTAGCGTGCCAAGATGAACACTAGTCAAGCATATGCCGGATTTATGGTGTAGCTCCTACTGCGCTTCATAGTAACTATCGCCGGACAGTGTCACAAATCCATGATTTCTTTCAGCATTTTCACTGCTGTGAAATGTTAGCTACAATTGCATGTCATTTTGTTTTAGAGTCTTTGGTATTTATTATTATTTAATTCGCTGATAAGTCAATATCCTATCGGCCGTGTAAAAATTCACGGCTTTGATTCATTTTGATTTTTTATCGTTATATCATTTTATTTTTCAACGGATTACAATGAGAAGGATTTTAATAATGATGAGAGTGAGAACTGGGATACCTTAGAGAGAGGTATCCCACTGCTCTCTATGTGAGACGGAATCACCTGTCATGAAATGCTAATTTTGTTCTCTATGTGAGACGGAATTACCTGTCATGAAGTGCTAATTTTGTTCGGGATTCAGAAGTGACTTTTTTAAGTGTTTATCAAGTCAAGTCTATCTAGAATTGATGTTGGATATATATATATATACTCGAACTACCTTCATTAAAAGGTTCACGAGTACTAGGCTTTCAACATGAACATATGTTTGATTGGTGTGTGTACTGTGATTTTTTGTAAGTCATGGGGATTCAGATCCGCAAGACTACCCACCTTAAGGATTCACATAGCTGGATACTTTGGATCCTATTATTTTAGAGTGAAAAAATCTTCGCAATCTGATACTTATTTGGAAAGCAAAGTGGCAGTAGCCGAGAGTGAAGAAGAAACGTGATCTATCTTCGAGGTAATATGTGGGAACAAGCGAAGTTGTGATCGGCGCCCTTCCCTGACTCGCCGATAGAAAACAGACAGACCAAAAGCGAAGCTAGATTGTCGCCCTGGCATCCAGAATTCATCTCCTGTAGCAATCCAAGAGTCTGAAGCATCATCCGACTAAGGGATAGTCCAGATCCGGAACGGAGAATCAATATTTACACTCCACGTTGAATGCATAGTCCAGCTGCCGTCACCACGAGACCAAGCACCGCGACTTCTCCGCAAGGTTGACATAAATTGAACACCAGCGGATGCTCGCCTATTGACATGAATTCAGCGTCATGCTCAGGAGAACTACATTTGCGGTTGGGCGAGACGACAAGATCACGCCATCTTGGTGGGACCTATCATAGGAGTACATTCCACGTCGATCAATTTTCGGGAAGAACTGATCGAAACATACAGAAACCCCTGCAGCTATCAACCTTCTGAGGCTCTCCAGCGTCTCGATCCACGTGCTGCGGTAAAGTGCCCCGGTGACTCTGATCTTCATTCGGACAACCACTTAAGGCACGACGACTCATAGTTTGTACATTGCTTCGGCCAATCCATGAACTCTGAGGCCACGTCCATGCGCAACATCTCGAGTCTGAATCGAAATGTTTCTCCACATTTGACGATATTCTACATCTGCTTTCGAGTAGGCAGTCAATAAGGGCTGATATACATCTCGTCGAGCGAACCGAGGAATGAAAAATCATCGTCTCTGACAAAGTCTTCCTCCGTCAAAAACTCAAAAAAGTCTTTCGTGAGAACCAGCCTATCCACATCTACCATGGACTACGTATACATGTCGACGTGTAAGATAAGTTGGAAGGATATCACCTTCCTTCGAACTTGTTCAGGCTAGTTGACTTCTTGCTAAGAACAGTCGATGACAAAGCCTATCGCTTACAAATGGGTCTTCAGAGGCGCTAAGAAGCTCGGCAGTCTAGGGGAAGACGTGTGATACGTCGTGGACATGATCAAAGTTGAGCACCATAGGCCACAAGGGAAATATAAGTAAGAACTAAGTCTGGAACAGGTCCTTTCCCCGTCTTCGAGCTGGGTCAAGAGCATATGTATTGTAGACTTTCCCACCAGGTGCTAAGCTCAAGACATAAGCACAACGAATGTACATAAAGAGCCCGACGTGCTCCAACACTCCATATCGACAATTTCAAGCGGTTTCTGCAGGTACAGAATCAGGGAATTTTGGGCTCATGAACGACGTGGGACAGCACCCGTCGATTAAAAGCACATATCTGTTGGTTGATTTCTTCTTGGTGGCTGCAGTTGTGAGGTTCATCGGAGGATTTCGGAGAATACAACCCGACTGAGATTATACGAACAAGCAGGTGGGATTGCACCGCAGACGCACCGAAGTGGAAATCGAGGAGGTGGTCAACCTCGGGACATGGCACACGGTGGTAGGAGTGGGCAAGCAGGGGGATCGGACTTCAAACCCCTGTTTGAGGAGACGATACAGGATCGAAACAACAAGTCCGCTTATCCCACCACTGTTCTGAACATCGACGATTTAGAAGATCTTGCAAAGAGGACTTGGAATAAAAACGCGACAGATCCTGCTAACACTGAAGGCCCTTGGGATACAATCGATTCTATGCTACGTCAACAACGTCATCCAGTTTTCAGCAACTCTGCCGGCCTCACCGCTCTTCATGTGGCTGCAAAATTCGGCCGTTTGCTGGTGGTGCGGGAATTGCTGCTAACAAACAAGTGCACGGAGTTCGAGGCAGAAACAGCAGATGGACAGACGGCTTTGCACATGGCGGCCATATCAGGGCACGACGAGATTGTTCGCTGGCTCGTAGAGCATTATCCATCAGAGGAGGAGCACAGTCTTGAAAGCTACGTCAACAGAAGAGATCATCACATCTCTGAGCCGGAAACCCGTCAGACTTCGCGACCGAAAGTCAAACCTTCGAGAACGAACTCCAACACCTTTTTGCCCATGTTCCTCAGACACATGATTTCAGGAAAGAGAAAACAAGGACGTGTTCAATGCGAGCCGTCCAACAATCACAGAACAGCACTTCACTATGCTGTCCAGCACGGCCACGTAAAGGTTGTAAAATTGCTTTTGGAATTTGAAGAAGTTGAAGTTAATGCCAGGGACTCTGACGGTATGACTCCCCTGTATCTTGCCATTCTGAGCTTGCCAACCCTCCCAAAATTGAGGGGCGCAGACCGCCTCTCTGTGATCAGAGAGCTACTGTCACATCCCAGTATCGACGTGAACGCTCAGTCTAGCGAACCTGGACACATGGGGGACACCCCGCTGCATGTTGCCGTCAGAATTATGGACCCAGAAGTGGTGGATTTGTTGTGCTGTCAGCGGATGTTGGTGGCAACGAAGAGGAACCAACTAAAGGAGATGCCTCTGCGGCTCGCCTGGGAACACAAGCCCCCCACAGATGCCATGGATTGTATCAAGGGGCTACTCCTGAGAAGACCCGACGTGGAAAGGGCTATGGACGAACTGACAGAAGATAAAGCTCTTCTGCACACAGCAGTAAATTCGTTGCTCGTGGGGGGCACTCTTTTGGCGAGCCTCACATTTGCAGGAGTCCTCAAAATGCCCGCTTTACCACACGATGGCGATTTCACACCTTACACAGGCCTAAAGCAATTCTACAATCGAGCAGTCGACATATTCCGAGGCTCCAACAACATGTGTTTCTTCTTGAGCATCATTACCTTGATGCTAGTCATTCAAGTTCCAATTACTAAGCGTAGAAGCGCTCGACCTTTCGCAGAGCAGCATGTGGAGAAATTACGAATCTGGATTCTGTTAATCTCCTTCTGTCTCACGCTCGCCACCTCGTGTGCTGTCATGGCTTTCGTATCGGCAGGGCTGGCCAAAGTTCCCGTGTCAGAGAGCGGGTGGTCTAGACTTCTTTACAGATGGGGAGAAGGACACTTCAGGTCACCAGTCAAGTCGACTATGCTTATGACGACACTTCTCGGGTGTCTATTTCTCGCTCTCATCCTAGGTTACAATCTCTTCACAGACTACTTCTTCATTTTCCGTGATTACTTGTCTTCTACGTTCTCAATCAGGTCTTCAATCGCAGTCTTCTTTGCGCTATCTCTCTTAGTCAGTGTGATAACAGTCGTAGCTTTGCTTAGTGTTGGAGTTGGTCTCCTCGCTGAAAGGTCGAGGCCAGATTATACTATACCGCAAGATGCGAAGGCCTTGAAAACTTTGCGTCAAATTTTAAGCTCCACGAAGATCACTCGAGGAGCTTAGACGCCTGTAGATACTGTAAATATAAAAGTAAACCCCTCTTTGGGGAAAGCTCCTCCACTAGATGGTTTTGCGTTCTGCATCAAATCGGCCGTCAGGATGCATTTTTTTCACGTCAGGTCATTTCGGAGGCTGAAAGTCCAGAGGCGTTGTAAACTGTACGTATATGCCATCGTTCTCCGAGTGTTGCCAAAACTTGCAGACCCACCGAGCCCTATATTCATTGAAATATATACGTTTCCACAAAATTTCATTTCTATCTTCAATCTGCACGGAGGGAGGTCTTTCATCTCAGACTCAAAAGTTCAGGAAACTTTCATATCATGAATCTGCCAATGTTACTGCAATCGGTGCGGGCTGCAACAACTGCAAGACTTCATGTGGTTCTCTTCAGAAACCCAATAAGCACGTGTGCTTATTGTCAGGCTAGAATACAGTGCATCGTGCGATATCTATTCAAATTCACATCATGAAAGAACTTCTTTTCTTGAGCAATCTCCTGACTGATTTAAACACCACTGGCTCAGAGGTTGTATTTGTCTAATTCTGAAAGACAAACTCTTGAAATATTGTGAGGCTCCAGCTCCAGAAACTGGAGAATTCTTAACATGAGCTCAACCCTTTCAACCTTCTTACATGCAAAGTCAATCCAGCCACCTTGCCCTGTAGATTCGGATGCAAGCTAGAGAGGACTAACATGATACTTAGAACTGTCAACAGCACATTACATCTTCATGCTGTTTCATTGTTCCACAGATACATTTTTAGGCAAATTCTCCGTATGTGACATTTGATATATTCTGTGTTCTCACGATCGACTGACTCTGGCTCAAGAGTAATAAAGCTGTGTTCAACGTTGATCGGAATTACGATGTGACGTTGTTGCACATCACAGAAGAGCTGCTAAGAGAATTATTTTTATCTGAATAGACATCTTGTTCGTTGGGCTGTAGTAACTGAATTTATGAAAACAATTAGTCGTAAAAAACTTATTCTTGAAATCTCAATCTCGTATGATCTAATAACATCACTCAAACCTGTGTCTTTTACATGCATTTACCATGCGGTGATTTGTTCTTACAATCAACATTCCTCTTAACTGGAGTGATTTGCTCCAAAAGTATGGAGCAAATCACTCCATCTGGATGTCCCAATATCCCTCAAGGATTTCACGGTACGCTTGCGACATCCAGATCACAAATGAATCCTGTTTTTAACGGTTGTAATAAGGGTGAACAGAGGCTCTGAAACCATTCTTGTCTTCTTCGACTACTGAATATGAAATCCGATTGTCATCTTCTACAAAAGCATCTTCTACATCTTGGAATAGGTTTCCTACATATTAAGGCTGTGAACACATTTATTTCGTAAGACAGAGGAAATTACAGCTGGTTTTGGAAGCTATTTCATTGTGCGAGAAGTGCGTACCTCAGAAAGATTACCTTTCTTAACAGGTTGATGTTGTTGCTCCAGCAACAACATCAAGCTTCATGCACGAATATGAGTTTCCACAATGGTGAAAACTCCTACAAGAAATCTGTTACTTTCATACAACCTTCGGTTAAGTCCACAGTGTGAGACTCAATTACCCGTGAACCCTGCATTCCAAGCGCTAACGTCCTGTCACTCGCGGAACTTATTGAAGTATAGTTTGCCAGTCTGTGCTCACCGTCGAGTATGTGGAAAGTGAGGACTTTGTTCTCTTCATCAAGCACTGTTCAATGCTCCGATTGTATCCGGACATGCCTGAAGCTTGGGGATGTTTCGTCGCCTTCAACCATGATGCATCCTACCTTGCCAATTCGACGTGACAATGTCCATGGATGCATAATAATATACAGATGAGAGGTAAATTCCCTTCTTCCATAAATGAATTAGAATTAAATTTTTTTTCATGCTAATTCGGTTCATTGTACTTTAAATCGTCTAATCTAGTACGTGATATTTTTTGATTATTATCTCAAAAGCAAACAAATCTATTTATGTACAAATAAGCAAAATTGGTGTTGAGAAACAGTTAAATCGAGCTCTTTGTTTATTCCTTTTATACCATTCATATAAATTCACGAAATATTTCATGAATTCACATTTATGGTATATTTTGTTGATATATTCCATCAAGAACATATTTGTTTGATGGGAACCATCAAGTTTCATTTTACCCGGTGTGAACCCACGGACGATATACCGTTGATGAATTCTAGTAAATGTTTTAATATGAATATAGTTTTTATTTGTTTTTGTATTTTTTCTTTTAAAAATATATTATTGTTTTTCACTATCCAAGTTGCGGCTCTCTCCGGTATCTACCGACCAGTGCATCGACTAGCGTTTCTTTGGCGTGTCACTCCGAGCGAGAGCCACTTCCACCGCACCGACCGATTGATGTGATACGAACTGAAAATGCATTCTCTAACGTAAATTTCTGCTCTCTATTCTCCGGTACCATGAACATGAGGATCCGAATTACCATCGGCGAGGCCCGTTGAGGTTCACCGACGAGTCGTCAATCCTCGACACTCCATCCGCGGCGCATGGTTTGAAACTTCTCCCTCGACGAATGCTATTCCCCAACCTCCCTCCCTTTTCCTCCCCCTCTCCTCTCCTCTGTCACACTTAGTCCTGTTCGACCACCGCCTTTTTGTCCGGAGTCTCCGAACTTCTTCCACGAATTTCTGCACCATGAATTGCAACTCGCTGCAGGTCGTCGCAGCTCCCGCTGATGTGGTCGCGATTGTGGAGCAACGCTCTCACCGGCTGTTCATACTAGAACAGTTTGAAGTGTGCCGTCGTTGGGGCCCCATTGGATAAAACGAAACTTGATGAGTCTCATCAAATAAATATGTTCTTGATGGGGTCCCATCAAACAAATATCTCTAAATTTTATGGAATTTGATTCAATTTATGAATTCAAAGTTCAAAGTGTTTACTCCAGTTAACATAAACATACAAATTTCAGTAATTGATATTAAAGTATAAGTATCAACCTGACCTTTGATACGATACGTGCTTGGAGAAAGCGAAAGTTACATTTAAAGATTTGTTACAATGACAACGGCTTTCATAGATAAACTATTTCTATCTTCTAATCTACTGGTTATTATTCCCATCATTATAACATCACATCTTTCAAGTGTCAAAGAATTTTAGATTACAACTGAAATCTAATCAGGAGTAGAGCAGCACAACAGATTCAAAACACATTGTATGACCAAATGTGATTGATTTAACAATTCTCAACTTGCCATTGAATAGTTTAAGAGGGTGTGAAATATTTTCTTTTTTCCGATACAAGCAGCATACACAAGATAGACACATGTGTGTCTTGAAAACATTGATATCATAAAACTTCAAGGCTGTATAAGAAATAACAGAAAAGAAAAATATTGATTTTCAGAGGATTCAAAGTGAAAAAAAGAATAATTTTTAATAGGCCAAAAGGAAAGGATGTCCATGTAATAAAATAATGGTAGAGAAAAAAAGAGTGAACATCCCACCAACAATCAAATGTCATTAGCTGAAATAACATCGAGCACACTTATAACTATTTGTGTGAGAATCTCCAAAGACTAAAATTTTTGGATTAGCCTAAAACCGAAACTAAGAGTTCTAGTAGTTTTCTTTTTTTTTAGTTAAGGAGTTAAAAGTATGCTAGAAATGATCCGCTTAGTTAGTTAGACAAATCCGGATCAGTACTAGTAGTTAAAAGTGTTAAGTATCTGTCACCTCTTCGGTCCCGAAAAGTCAACCGAGAGAAGTCAGCCATAAAGTCAGGGACAAGGATAAGAAAATGGAGCCGAAGCCGACGATCAAGTAGGTGGTACAGACGTGATTTTCGGATTAACTTGAGTAAAAGTAGGATCTGACATACTGATTTCTCTCAGGGATAGGATTGGAAAAGTTTTAGGAGTTAGGGTTTTTGAGTGAGTTTCTGAGTGAGTTTTCGGCGCCTCTGCTTGTGTGTGGCCTCTACTTATTTAAGTGGAGCATGCGGGTACTGCCATGTCTTTGTTCTTACATGTTTTCTTCCTAGATTCCTTATCAGTTTACAGTGCTATGTTTTTCTAAGCTGCCGTACCTCTGGCTTCCTGTCTGATTGTTGTCAATCTGAGAGAAGTGAGACTCCATTGCAGACCAGATGTGAAGGTGATGGAAGCTGAAAGGCAAGACCTTGATCGATCTAGACTCCGAGATTGAGTAGTGGATTGGCTGGCGTGTCGTGGAAGTTCAAGAGTCATCTTTCGGTTCTCTAATATTCAAACACTGTCTGTAAGGTTAGAGCCGACTGAGGGATACTCAGGTTAGACTCACCTGAACTTGTGAAGAATTTTTGTCTACAGTGAGACAGAGCAGATTCGGAAGTGGAACTTGTCGTCCAAGGATCGCCAAAATCTAGCTCTCACGGATCGGATTGGTTTGTCGTTGTAGCCTCATGCATCTGAAAGTGCTCACTTGTGTGACCTGCTAGCCAGAATATTCTAGGTTAGTTGTGAAGTGATCTCTTACCGATCTACGTTGGAGTTTTTGTCATCTGAAAGAGAGAATTAAATAGAATATGAGAGTATGATTATGAGCAGTTTCTGACCTAACACTAACGAGTCCTCGGAACAATACTCGAAGTCACACGAATAGGACGAATATAGGCTTGTTTTTTTCTCCACTAGAAGATAAACAAGTTTCCGTGTTCTAACAATTTGGTTGTATATAGAGAAAGATACATCTGGAATGAGTATACAATAAGATCTTTTCTCCCAATCTCAAAAGATTGGGATATTCGATCTTCCAGGTTGAAAACTTTTTCAAACGAAGCAAGGCCCATGAGATTGATGTAACTTATAAATTTTATGATTTATCCTTGAAGCACATTGATTGTACCCTCATTCTTAGACACAATCGAACTAGACATAGTCATTAGGAATAATTTGTATATATCAAATTTTGGTCCACAAGAATTGAGAGAAAGCTCCGGGAGTCATCATCTACTCTCACATGTGATATGACTGAGCTGAGGGCCTGCAAGAGCTGATATTTCTTAAAGATATCGACATTCTTAACTAGTAGAGAACTCTTCTCTGTAAGCGAAGAGTCGTACCTGTCGGAAAGCACTCCCGCGTCCGGCCTGCCGAGCCTCGCTGTGCTTCCTGGTTGATCTGGTTCAGCTTCTCTTCCACTTTCTAATGACATTTTGACAATCTTGAGACACTGTTG